TGATTTCCTTGGATTTCGAAGAATCAAGGGGAGTCCCAAATACATACTGCCCTAAGCCTGTGGAGTTCTTGTTCTTTTAGTCTCATGATAAAATTTTCATCAGTAACACAGCCAGGCAATCTCTTTATTTTTCTCATCTTCTCCAATCTGTACTTTATCAGAGCAACAGTTTTTCCTCAAGAAAGAAATTGGTTAGTTGTACCTACTGACTTTTGGGTGAATGATACAGCTGAGATAGAGAAGTTGCGCTGAATTGATAAGTGAAGGAATTAAGGTGGTAAAAACATTTTTTGCTGAGTGCCTTCTCCATTCTAGGTACCAACTGTATGGTTTCACTTAATTCTCTCAGCAGTCCTATGAAATAGATGTTGTCAGCTGTGCATTAAAATATTAAATAAGTTGGGGCTGCCTGGGTGGCTCAGTGGGTTAGCCTCTGCCTTCCGCTCAGGTCGTGATCTCAGGGTCCTGGGATCGAGTCCCGCATCGGGCTCTCTGCTCAGCGGGGAGACTGCTTCCTCCTCTCTCTCTCTCTCTCTCTCTCTACTTGTGATCTCTCTCTGTCAAATAAATAAAATCTTAAAAAAAAAAATAAAATATTAAATAAGTTGACCAGGCTTTTATGGTTGGTATGCCCAGGGCTGAATAAAACCCAGGTCTGTTTCTATGCTCTTTCCATCATAAACCACGGCTACCCTCCATCTTATGTATTTGGTCTCTATAAAGCCTTGGAAATTTATTATTATCAAAATACTTTTGTCATTGTTTGGGAGGAAAAATTTTTATCTACCCTTCAGAGTTCCTCTGTGTAGTCTAAGAAATTGACATGAGATCACTTAACAAGAGACAAATAAAAGTTTAATGACATTAGTATTTTCTGTATAAATGGGAGAGACCCACATAAAACTAAGTAACTCCCTAAAGTGGCCAAAGCCTTCACCATGTTCATCTTAAGAGAAAAGAAGATTTTGGGATGGGGAGTCAGTTAAGACAGATTACCAGGAAAAGCACAGTAAACAAGGGTAAGGTTGTGATACAGATTTAAGTTTTACCTTCTTTGATAAGAGTTCTGAAGATTGAGTTATCCTTCTCTTTCTGGTAGAGGGGGACACCCTTACAAATGGAGGTTTCCCTTGTAAATGTAAATGCCTCTTACAAAAGGGTAACTTCTGTTTGGTTTTCAGAGCTTTTCTATGTTTGCAGTTTCTTAAAGATAATCAGCCTAAAATAATCCTTATGCCAAAGAGACTCATTTTGGTGTGGCAAATTCTGTACATCCTGAAAGGTAATCAAAATCTAGTAAAATAAGCTTTGTTTTACTTCTAGAAGAGAAGCATTAGGAGCATTAGGATGTAAATGTATAAAGTATGTTTTATTTTGCCTAGTGTCTGGGACAAGGTCTCAATATCCTTAAAGGTTGGCAGCTGGGTGCCATTCATCTTAGTGTTAGGGCACTGATTTGTTTATTTCAGACCTAGACTCCTGGGTTTTAGAGGACTAGAGAGCTGAAGTAGTCTGTTTTCTATAACTTGCTTTAGAAACATAAGCTAATATGTATATTTTCCGTTTTCTTTTTGTCTTTCCCTTTTCTTCCCTTCTCCTTTTTCTTTTAGTTTTTAGAAATACTGTGTACTAGGGTTAAATAATGAGTAGTAAAGTGCACAGTATTATGTGGGCATCTTTAGGCCTGAAAATGGTTCAGTTTCTATATTCATTTCAAGTGCTGCTTTGAAGTACTCTGTGCAGCCCTTTAATCTTAGTTCATCACTAAGGAGGTTTGGAGAACAGAAGGAAAGATCATGAAAGATGTAGAGAAATGACACATAGCCTTCCATTTTTTAGGATTTTAAAAATTTGTTTCCTAATCCAACATATTTGGTATTTGCCATTTATTGCTTTTCTTTTACATAATTGTCAGTAATTGGCAATACAGTTGTGTATAACCTTTTCTTTAAGAGAACACACATGAATAAAAATGTCATTCATTTATAGCAATAAAATATACGTTAAAGTAATACATTTGGTTGTACAACTTAACATCTTAAGAGGAAGCTGCCACAAGCATGCATTTGTGTGAGGCAATCTTCGCTCTCATCTGGTTTTCAGATAGGACATCTTCCTCAGAAAAGGTCTGATTATATCTGGAATAACAAACAGTTTAATTGGAAGGAATTACCTTGCAACCAATTTTGCAGAGCTAAATGATCCAGAAGAATTGCTGCATGAACCAGTGCTTTACAAATGTGAAGTATACTTATTTTCTGTCTAGCTAATACAGAAAGTTTAGATGTATAGGTGCTTTTGTATCATTTCTTAAGGCATTTACTAAGTGCCTATTGTGTGCAAGATATTTTATTAGGTGCTTTGTCAAATACAAAGTTAAATACACCATTAGGTGAGACAGGTATATAATATGAGATATAGTGACATAAATGGAGGTTAAAACACTGTTCTGTAGGTTAGCAGAGGAAGGAATGATTAAGTATTGGTATAAGTATCACAGCTCATGGATTAAAGTATAAAACACTTTTAATAAGATTTTGTTTACTACTGTAAGCCAAATAATTCATTTAGTCATCAAAACCTTGTTTATTTTTAAAAGTCTTAATTTTTCTGTTTCCATGTGTATTTTAAACTACTGTTTGGAGTGAGAGATACTCTTTGTTTCGTTTTGTTTTGGCTCAAGTTTTTATTTAAATTCCAGTTAGTTAACATGTAGTATAATATTAGTTTCAGGAGTAGAATTCAGTGATTACATATAACACTCAGTGCTGATCACAACAGGTGCTTTCCTAAATACCCATCACCCATTTAGCCCATCCCTCCCCGCCTCCCCCACTATCTCCCTCCCTTCCAGCAACCCTCAGTTTGTTCTGTATAGTTAAGAGTTTGTTTTATGGTTTGCCTCTCTTCTTTTACACCTATGTTCATCTGTTTCATTTCTTAAATTCCACATAAGAGTGAAATCATATGATATTTGTCTTTCTCTGACTTATTTCATTTCGCTTAGCATAATATACTCTAACTCCATCCATGTTGTTGCAAATGGCAGGATTGCGCTCTTTTTTATGACTAATATTCCATCGTATATATTACCCACAGCTTCTTTATCCATTCATCAGTCAGTGAGACATTTCAGCTCTTTTCATCATTTAACTGTTATTGGTAGAGCTGCTATAAACATCAGGGTGCACATGTTCCTTTTTTGAAAAATTGAAAAATCAGTACTTTTTCCCCTTGGGTAAATACCTGGTAGTGCATTTGCTGGGTGGTGGTGTAGTTCCTTTTTTCACTTTTTGAGGACAGTCCATACTGTTTTCCAAGTGGCTACACCAGTTTGCATTCCCACCAAGAGTACAAGAGAGTTCCCCTTTCTCCAAATCCTCACCAACATCGCTTGTGTCCTTTGTTAATTTTAGCCATTCCGACAGGTGTTAGGCGATATCTCATTGTGGTTTTGATTTATATTTCTCTGCTGAGGGGTGATGTTGAACATCTTTTCATATGTCTGTTAGCCATCTATATGTCTTTTTTGGAAAAAATGTCTATTAATGTCTTCTGCTCATTTCTTAACTGGATTGTTTGTTTCTTAGGTGTTGAGTTTGATAAGTTCTTTACAGATTTTAGATACCAAACCTTTATCAGATATGTCGTTTGCAAGTATCTTGGAGTGAGAAGTAGTTTTAACACCCTTGTGACAATTATATTATTTTTTTTCTGCTGTTTTTGGAATTAAATTTGTTTAAGAAGTAATGGACTTCTGTCACAAATTGTAAATCTGGAGGATTCAAGGCTGCTCACTCTATTTTGGGCTTAGCATAGCTTAAAAGTTGGAATAGTTTTAAAAAGTGTATTGAGTCAAGTGACTTCTAATTGATTTAAGAATATCAGTGAGTGTGGTTGTTATGTACTCAGAGTTGGCTTTGTGGGATCTGCTATCATAAATCTGCCATGGAACATATCCAGAGAATTTGGATCAACAGAAAACATGCAAATGTCCTAGATCCATAGAAGTTTCCATTTGAAAGCAACCTCGCAGTTTATCTAATCTAAATTTAAAAAGATGGAGGCCTGGGGTGCCTGGGTGGTTCAGTGGGTTAAAGCCTCTGCCTTTGGCTCAGGTCATGATCCCAGGGTCCTGGGATTGAGCCCCGCATCGGGCTCTCCGCTCAGCGGGGAGCCTGCTTCTCCCTCTCCCTCTGCCTGCCTCTCTGCCTACCTGTGATCTGTCAAATAAATAAATAAAATCTTAAAAAAAAAAAAAAAAAGAAAAACTTCCAAAAAAAAAAGATGGAGGCCTAACAGCAGAGAGGTGTTAGAAGATCGTTCCAGTGGTCAGAATAATTTTGGAGAAATCTTTGATACTGATGTACTCATATTACTATTTTTGTTATTTCTCTGATGGATTTAAAATTATATACTTATTTACTGTATCTCTGTCATTTTGATAATGATTATTTGCTTCTGACTATTTCTGCTCTGGGCTTCTCCATGGTTAATGAAGGGGAACATGATGTTTGATGGCAAAATGATATCATCACTGATCATTCACACAGCAAAAAAAATAAATAGTTTGGGGGCATTTATTTTAATGAAAAATGTTTTTTTAAACAGATTATCAGAGTTTTGTCTCAGCCTCATTTTCTATGGTAAAATACAGAATTTTATGTATTAGTATTAGAAAGGGACGGTGATTATGGTGTTTTGCATGGTGTTTGTGGTTCAGAATGTACACACATAATTACTGTGACTTTTGCCCCTTTTATTGTAATTTGTGTAAGAGAGAAGAATTAGATTTTTCTCATTTTTCAGTTTCTCACTATAGCATAAAAATATTCTTTTTTCTGGTGTCTCTCTCCCTCTCACACACAGACACACACATGGAAAATCATTCTAATTTAATGTTAGATACTATTTCCCCATATGGTGAACACAAACCTTTTATTCATACTCAGTACTAATAAGTACAAATTTTATAATAATACATGAATTTCTTATTGCAGGTACATGTTGGGACTTGCAGCAATTCCAGCAGTTATACAGTTTTTTGGCTTTCTGTTTTTACCTGAAAGCCCTCGATGGCTGATTCAGAAAGGACAGACTCAGAAAGCCCGTAGAATTTTGTCTCAAATGCGTGGTAACCAGACCATTGATGAGGAATATGATAGCATCAAAAACAACATTGAAGAAGAGGAAAAAGAGGTTGGCTCAGGTATGTACATTTTGTATTTATATGAATTTTAAAACTGCATAGAAGTTTTATTTAGGAACCAAATAAAGTTAGGAACTATATTCTTTTGCTATTATTTAATGATGATAGCGATTTTATGTATATAACCAAGTCAAAATAAATATATTTTAATTCAGTTTTCAAAGTGATACAATGTTATAAAAGAAGGAAAAACTATCCCCATTATATCACTATCTTTACATAATTACTATTTTTATTTTTGTATAGTCTACTTTATTCTTTAAGAATTGGATATACTTGACATGGTTGTCATCATTTTGTGTATAGGGGTAATTTTTGATATGTATATATTTTTAAGATATATATAGTTATGTATGCATATTAACCAAAAAGTCATAGTGTGAACTGTTGTTAAAATAAATCACCTTAGTAAAACTAAATACCTTGCTTACATGTGTTACACTAATCTCCCTATCAGTTTTTATAATGAATAAGAATACCTTGAGATCCTAGTATTGGAATAATTTTGTGTTTCCCTGTTTTCATTAAAGTCTTTAATTGTCTAATCAACATTTCACCATGTCAGAAAACCAAGAAAAAAAGTTTCTAGTCTATTTATGTTGATGAATTTCTTTTCAGAGAAGAAATCATGTAGGGTTTTGCCAAGTCTCAGGCAGGATCTCTAATGTTGACAATCTGATTTGGGTAAGTGATTTGCAGGATGTACATGATGTAAGGTAGACATTTTATGATACATTTCTCGACAGTAACCCTTACGCTGCTAGATTCACAGTTCCCAAAATTGTCTCATTTTCTCCCAACCTTCCTTTTGCCCCGACATTAATTGGTAACCCAAAGAGACATGCTGACTTGTGTTAGATTATTTTTCATACTTGAGGCAAACACCCACCCTCATATATCGATATATGTCACACAGGTCTTGGAAGGTGTGTTCCCTCACCTTCTTGTGCTATTATTTTTGGTGGAGCTGAAGGCTGTGCTTTCCTGAAATAATAGAATAAACGCTGTGCAGAAGCTGGTGACCGTGTTAGCCACACCTGATTTACTTATGATTATATATATGCAATACAGTAGTGTGGTGTTATTTTCTTGCTGAGGTCAAAGCCCCAGTGAACAGTGAGCCGAATCTAGGGCAAGGTCATTTTTTTTTTTTTTTTTAAAGATTTTATTTATTTATTTGACTGAGAGAGATCACAAGGAGGCAAAAAGGCAGGCAGAGAGAGAGGGGGAAGCAGGATCCCTGCTGAGCAGACAGCCCGATACTGGGCTAGATCCCAGGACGTGTGTGTCTGTTTATCTGTGTGTGTCTGTGTGTCAGAGAGAGACCTGGGCTCGATCCCAGAACCCTGAGACCATGACCTGAGCCAAGGGCAGAGGCTTAACCCACTGAGCCACTCCGGTGCCCCAAGGTCATTTTTAACAAAGTTAGTGGGCATATACCATGTATCTGGCACTGTCCGCATTTCCAGAGTAACATGTTAGTTCAAGTATTAGAGAATTTTGCTCTGAACAAAATAATCTACTTTTACTGAGTTGAACATTATGTTAATTTAAAAATACTATTTTAAATGTTCATTTAAATTATAAATACCTTCATTTATGCGCCTGTCTGAATTTCTCTTGGCTGTGGTTTGCATGAAATATGAGCTTGTTTTTGTAGTAAATCTGTGTGCTTGAAGCTCAGGTGCTGATAATGTGTGAGTGGAAAAACTTTTCAGGTTGTTAGGTTATATTAAATACTATTGAGAACATAAGTTTTTATTATGTAAAGGGTAAGACGACAACTTAATAAAAAAGCCTTCCTGTTCAGCAGTAGGGATACTACTGATTTGACTATAAAGCGTTGACCATGTGGCTCCATTTGGACCTACTGAAAAATTTCAGACTGGTGTAGGCATGCAGCTGTTGACAGTGCATACAGAGTTTCATGATGATTTGGAATGTATAATCAAGTTTCTTAAGAAACTTGAGGTACTTAGGACTATAATTATCCGCATCTGCTTTAGTTTTTATGTGAGGTCTTTTGGAGTTAAATAGGGCCCTTTTTCTTGGGTAAAGATAAAATAATATACACATTTGGCACAGGTTTTTTTTTTTTTTTTTTTTTTTATTAACATATAATGTATTATTTGCCCCAGGGGTAGAGGTATGTGAATCATCAGTCTTATACATTTCACGGCACTCACCATAGCACATACCCTCCCCAATGTCCATGTTTTTAAAAAATACTGTGTTACGCATTGAATCTTAATAACATTTGTCCCATGCTTGGGTAAATACCTTAAACTTTGCAACTAATAGGATTTACAATTTACCCATTTCTCGATTTGTATTATTTGTGTACTATCATCTTGCTTAATTTTAAAGTTAATCTCACGTTCTTTTTCAAAAGTGCAGAATTGTTAGCATTTATGGCATGAATTCACAAGGCAGATTTGCTAGGGTTAAATAGCAAGTAATTTGGGGGCCTCACTTTTATGATTGAGGAACTTGATCAGGGTAAAACCTGTTCTGCACACGTGTGAATTTTATTTCAGCATTGTGATGTCCAGGAGCGAGACTCTGTGTCAGTTTAGTTGGAAAATAGAGACGAGTACTAGGGCTTGTCTTAACACCCTGACAGGGTCCTGGCCCGCAATCACTCTACATTCGGACATGATAGGCTAGGTGGACAAATACACAGGGAAAAACAGCTAATTTCAAAATAATAAAAATGTCCTGGTCCAGGGAAGACAAGTCAGCCATTGTGTTGCAGGGTTAGAGAGTAGCCTGGGTTCATTTGACAAAGTGAAGTTTGAGCCCCATTTTAAGCCTGGGAACTCTGGGCGGTGGAGTGCAGCTGCCTGGAAGGGAGAACTTTGGCCTAGCCACTGCAGAAAGCTCCAGATATTGCAGGAGGTTGGAAAGAAGTTGTGCATGACCCCTGTTTCTTTTAGGGGAGAAATATTTTATCATCAGACATGGCGGCTTATTTATCTGCTACCTGCCTGTGAGCTTAATAAATAGGTCTGATTCCACATCAGTCCCCATGTCCTTCTCTGGGAGTTTCCAGTGGATTTGTTAACTTGTGACAGATATGGTACTTACTTATGTGGCCCTTCTCTTTTTATGGGATTTTTTATTTTAGTCCCTGGAGTTTAAATTTGATTTCTTTGAGGAAAATGGGCATAGCTACTGAAGTATGTATTAATTAAATTATTTTTTGAATGTGTGAGAGATCAGTGCATATGGGATTGACTTCTCCTGGCTTCAGACATGCTTTATGATTTTCTGTAGCGAATATGGTGGCTCTCTGGCCATGTCAGCCGCACAGCCACAGCCCATGCTGTGGAACAGCATTGGATTGTCACTGTGTGCCATCTCTTCTGCACGTGGCATAAAGGTCAGCCTCCTCAGCATAAGATTTCTCCACGAGAGTGGACAAAAAAAGGAAGAAGGACAGTTGATGGGAAAAGAAGCAAACAGCTGGTTTTTACCTGTATTCAACACTGTTCATACATCCCGCAGGACTAATGAAGTGAGAGTGGAGGTAACAGCAGCTTCATTTGGAAAAGTTCCCTGGCGTGGGAGACCAGGGAAATGGAAGATGCATCCAGGCTCCACCCCTAGTTTGTAATCCTAAAAAGATTTTCTAGGAGTTGCCAAACCTCAGTTTCTTTTTAGGTTTGTAAGAAAAGAGGGCCAGATTATAATACCTCCACAGTCTGATATTTTCTAGAGTTTAAAAAATCTGTGAGAAGTGTCTGGTTTTTAATTTTTAAATACGATGCAGCAGCCTTTCATTCCAAAATATTTATTGAGTGACACTCAAGAGAGTTGGGGGTGTGGCAGTAAATGAGACAAGGTTCTGGTCCATTCTTCTTGGAAGAAGCACACAGATGATGAAGAGGAAAGAATTCCTGGATAACTAAAAATTGTAGTAATGGCGTGAAAGGAAACAAACAGGAGGACAACATTTATAGAGGGCTTGCAGGGGGATGGTTAGGAAAGGCTTCTCTGAAGAGGTGAGCGTCAAGGCTGAGAAAGAGCCAGCAGATCAGAGAACTGAAGGCATGAGTGTTCCAAGCAGAAGGAATAGCAGGTCCAAATTATATGTCTCACTAAGTGGACCAGATTAATTTTTCTTGCAAGTTTTGATAATCGTTATGAAGTGCACATGTGCCAGATTCTTCAGGCCTTGCAGTAAGAACTGTTCATCTTTATTTATGCCAGGTTGCCAAGCCTAAGCTTTGAATTAGTAGGGACACAATTACTACTTCCAGGACTAAAACCAAATTTGAGTACAAAATAATACACATGATCATGTTCATTGTTTTGTTGCTTATTTCTTACGGATTGTCACTTTAGTGTACTGTGTACTAGTGTCATGAATTCATGTACAGAAGTTGGAGCGAGACCTAGGTAACTACTTAAGGCAGTGATTCTCTAACTTTTCCACATAGCTTCAATGGTGAGTGGAGAGAGGCCTTTTGGGGCCTGGATTCTCTAGCAGAAGGCAACTGCAGTGAGCCCAACATTGATTTGAATTTTTATGTTTTATCCTAGGGATGAATAAAAGTTTGTGTTCTGTTTTATAATATGCTTGTTTACTTCAGAAGCATATTTCCTAGATAACGAGTGTTCATTCATTGACTTTCAAAGTGTCCCATGACTTTCGTGTACAGTCCCTAGGATGTGCACCCTGCAGTTTGACACACTGAACTCAGAGCCTTTGAAGCGCCTCTAGGGCAAATCTGTGAGGCAGGGTAGGAAGAGTTGGAGCTGCCTCTATTACAGAATCAGGTGGTCATCTCTTGATGTACCAGGCGCAGAGAAGAGCAGAGAGGCTGTGTCAGGAGCTTGAATTTGTAGCAGTAATTCTCTCACCTCAGGAAAAGTAAAACCAGTCAACAAGAGACAGGACTCCTCTGAAGGCCGTCTTAGGAAAGAATCTAGAAATGAAATTTGTGCATTCAAATGCTTTATACTATCTCCTTGGAAAGCAATCCCTAATGACTTCT